TTAAGTTTGAACAAAAAAAAAAAAAAAAAAAAAAAAAAGAAAAGGAAAAAGAAAGGATCTTTTGATATTTTCCTGTTAGTTTTTGTGTCCCGTAAATTTCCCTTCTTTTTATTTTAATTGTGACTAAGTAAATCTCTTGAAAATATTTTTTATTTTTAGTTATTTAATCGTGACTGTTAAATCCTTGTAAATCGTGTTAGGAAAGTGGAACCAAAACGAGTCTTTCTCCAAGTTGCTCGTTGCATCGTAGGGTAATATCTAGAAATCTACATCTGAGAATTACAGGTCTTGATTGATCTGCCTATCCTGATGCAGATTGGAAGTTATGCTTCTCAATATCATATATACCTTGACTTTTCACTTATTTTCTGGTAGAGATAATATTGTATCTAGGTTGACAACGGGAGGATAGCAGAAAGCCAGGGCTTGTAAAGCAGAATTATTTGACTACGATCATTACAGATTCGAGTTCTCATCACTTCCGCCTCACTCCTGAGTTCATTGTTGCTGCATCAAAGCCACAGTTTCATGATAAAACATAATGGGTAAGACCAGAGGGTCAATTTTGTTTAACATAGCTTCAATACTAGGGAAGCATATTTACCTCACATAAGCACTAATTATTCACCAAAGCAATGGCCTCCAGGATGCATCAGTTTTTCAGTTAACATACTCTAGTCAATAGATCAACTTGTGTCAATATATAGGGGAGCATTAACATGTCACATTAGTATGGTCAACTATAATCTATAATGGGATATAGGCTATATGGTTGTAACATATCACTGCCCTGGCCATAGTATGATACTTTTCTAGAAGAGGGTAATTGCACAAATTGAATATCTACAAAAGTTAAATCCTCACCATGGGTGAAATTGAGTATAGCACAGTATAACACTGCTAATGAGTAGCCTCCCGGTATCATATTTTAAGGGCAAATTCATCCTTATTGTCCAACGGGAGCGACAACAATGCAATAAAAAGGCAATCATTTGTGGATCACCCAATTGAATGACAAGGGACACGGATGAGTTTTTCTACATACATGAATTCTTTTTTGCACTCAAGTTGAGGCAACTAGAGAAATTTTGGTAGTCGGAGTTCTTGGAGTTACATTTGCCATACAACATAAGTACGACCTTAACAGGTTCAGTAAAATAATATTAAAACCAACAAACATGCCACCACATCCTAAAGGGACCGAGCTCCCAGTCATGAAAGAGTTGGTCAAAGATGATATGTACATTCTGTATAATGTAGTCTTAGCCACTCACAATTTCGCTACAAAAGTTTGCTACATTGCAAGTGTGGTCAGTCGGGGCCAGAACCACAATGTGGTCACCTTACATTAGAAAGATGTACATGAGCAAATTTCAAAGCTGTGATATTATGATACTGGCATATGATCAAAACTACAGTGTTGACAACATTATAGGACACCAATACTGATACTCCTTTTAGACTCATAAATCCTAAGTAACATGAACATAAAATATAAAATGAATAAATACTATTCAATGCAATGTGAATATAATTAGACATCAATGTGTTAAACACATGTTTATGCACTAGATAAGCTATGATTTATGTGCATCATTGAGTTAGCGAGGGTACTCGCATCCTTGTCCTGGATTTTGAGAAATGTTAGATCATATCCTTACACCCCATGCTTGCATCTGTATTTGTGCATCTTATTTCAGAGTATTAAATCCCAATGGGGATTCCATCTGGTTGTCACTCATACAAAACTTTGAATAATCAGACTCATTCGGGTCCCAATTTGGTAACATTAGCAAGTTGACTCCATGAGTCATAAAACAATCAATAAGCGTGCAACATATTGTTCAAGGAAACGAGTTGTAGGCTTTAGCTGAATAAACACTCAAGACACGTTTTGAGTCATAAGCAAACTCTGTGGGACAATCCTTAAGAGTAGTTAGCCATAAATCCTTTAGGGCCACAACATATCAGAAATGATGCTTTCAAGTAGCACTCAAGAAAAGGATAACCACAATCGAGTACCTTTTTCAGAAAGAGGAAAAAAAGGATCACTGCATTAAGTGTGACACATCAAATCCACTAGCATCACAATGAAATTAGCATAGCGGGAATTGATTTGGAGGTATTTATTTATAAAGCAAATATGATAGATTAATGTTGTTACTAAATTGAACTTGAAACTCATACCAACCATAAGCAAACCATATTACTTTCAAACGAAACAGTAACCAGAAGTGCGAATTCATAATAATAAGTTAATGACAGATAACTTCATGAATAAGAAAACTCCATAGAAATTCCAAAACAATAATCAATGAAATAAAGAAAAAAACATATTGTCAATTATTTATACGTTAGGCTATTTGGTTATAGCTAATTATTTGAATAATATCATAAACTCGTGAATCTTAGGAACATTAGGCTATTCGGCTTTAGGTAATCATTTGAATCATTACATGAACTTTTGAATCTTGTGAAGGAGTAGAATTTGTCTTTACTTAGCTGGAATCAACTAAAGATAGAAGCTGCCTCCTCCGGTATTGAAATATTAATAAAGGAAAGAAAAATATTGAACCATGGGGTGGTAGCTTGATATAACTCCTCATAAAACATAATGAATCAATTCAATACGATTTCAACACCATTCAAAATCGTGATCTTGCTTTCATAAGATAACAAAAGTAACCATCCACATCTTGAAACACGCTAAACAAAATATTATTCTTCATTTATGAGAATTACTAGTAAGCCAGATTGTCTGTAACTCGGGATATAGTCACAGATTACACTAAATTCTTTTATCAATTGCTCCAACTCTGTCGCGAGGTATAAGACACAACTCAGAGCCATGCTTGAGAAATACATTACCTGAAAACACCAGCCAGTATTTAGATTGTTCACAATATTGAATATTAATTGAAAAATCACAGCAAACATCAACTTAAGATTGAAATGTAATCCAATATCCCTAGAGTAGTGCATATCGTTATTTCACCAAAAAAAAGGGGGGTAATTGATACCGAGTCTCCATCTAAAAAAACTCCGTAGACCAGATTTGTGTCAATCTTAGAATATCAAAGCTGTCCAGTAGTCATTTCCACATGATTAAAAAACTTATAAGGAAATGAGAAGTAGAAAGGAGATTTGAGGCCAACTTGCACTTTGTTGTGGATTAATTCCAACACCATCTGCATGCAAAGTGAGGAAAGAATTTAATTTCCATTCACAAAGTGATTTCGAATAGAATGACAGATATTAAGCAAAACATATTTGTAACATTTGTGAAAGAAATTGTGTGCCTTAAGGAGCACCGAATTGCATTACCAAATTGGAAATTAGACACCCAACATTAATTGTCAGTGTGCTGGACTTGCCTCAGCCAAAGGACTTGGCCCTTGGCTAAGTCAAGTTACCTGGCCGAGTCCTGCAAAGGGCCAAAAGGCCCTAAATAAACTCAAATAAAATTGAAAATTTAAAAAATAAAATAAAAAAAGGCAGCAAAAGTAAAACCAAACCAATTTAAAATAAGCTTAAAAGAGTTGAGAAAAAAGGATTTAGATAAAACACTGATTTACAATTTGGGATATTAAAAAAAAAAAAGTCCAAAAAAAAATAATATAAAAATAGGGATTATGACAAAAAACACTCACCAATATTTGCCAAAAACATCCCAATCATATAACAGATTATACAACATTTCTACATTTTTTACAATTTTTAAAAAATTTTGCAAAAGTTTTTGTGTACCCTGAGTTCTACACAACTTGGGGTACTTGCCCAACTCTTGCACTATTAATCTTTCTTGCAATGAAACCATGCATTTTGAAACCAGGATTAATATAAACATAAATTTTTTAGAGAAAAATAACAGATAGTACTATAATACATAAGCCGACGGCAAACAACGACTATTTTACATTAAAGAAAAAACTTTATGAGTCAGATTTGCCAGGATCAATTAGAGTTTTCAGAAGTTAGAAAGACAGACCATTAAATTTTCGTGGATGGATTCTAATATCACCAAATTCAACAATTAAGAAACTAGAAATAAAAAAAAAAGAGGATGGAAATTTCACAATGAGCCATCAGACTGGATAAAATATAGATTCGACTGCTATAATCTAGAAAGAGAAAGGAGATTACCATTGGTGATAATAGCGCTCGTCTGAGGAGGCACTTTGAACTCTTCCGCAGCAAATTTCAAGACCGCTGTGAAAGGGGCTTCCTCTGGAACACTAAAACTGGAAGAGAGAAAACGAGAAAAAATCCTAATTTTAGTTGCATCACGCATAATTAAATTGCAGGTGAGAAGAAAATAGAAAAACGTAATTTAATGGAAACAAAGGAGAGGATCATTTACACTTTGAAGGGGAGCTTTGGATCAGAGGTGAGAGTGACTTTGAAGGAAACTTTGCCACCGCCCATTGGCTTGTTAGAGTTTGTTGCAGAATTTGAGGAAATTTGAGCAGACATGGCCTCTGCTCAAAAAAATAGAGAGAGAGAGAGAGTAATGCGAGAGAGGTTACCTGTGAAAAAAATGAGTTACGCGAGAGGGGTATTTTGAAGCAGGTCGTGGAATTATACGGTTGCATCATGGTGGAGGAATTTGGAAAGGTAATGTTTTGCATGTTCCGGCCTGTCATGATTTTACTGTCGGAAAGACCACATTTCCTGTGAGAGGGCTCCCAGGCGGAATCATGCGAGGTTAATTAGGGCTGTGAATCGGGTTGGTCTGACCTGCTGATCTAACGGATCAACGCGACTTGGGTTTGAACCTGGTGGATTAAGTATGGATCCATCGAGGACCTAATTGGTTGGAGTCCAAATCGGGCCTGGCCTGACTTATTATTTTCTATTAAAAGCTAGGAACCTATTATTTTCTATTCAAAACTAGAGAAAATTATAGGTTCTCTCCCAACACATTTTCTAGACAACTTCTTCCGACCATTTTATTTTATTTTAATTTTTATCTCAAAACTAATTTTCATAGCAAATACTTCTAAGTAAAAAAGTCATAGTTCTTTAAACAAAAATGTCCTTATCTGTACATGATAACGTCAAATCCCCGCGCTCAATAACCAAAGACTATTTGGCATCTATTTTTGCCTAATTGATACCCATGTCATAAAAACAATCCGTCACACAACCCATTACAGTTGGCTTACTGACAGACCGTGGCAAATAAGTGTTGGATCGACGATACATCTTGTTGGAGCACACTTTCACGTGCTGGACCAAGATCAATACACCTATTGCCGGACCACCATATAACCTTGTTGAACCGATGGCACCTTCTGGTGCACCGCCAATATACTATCCCGGACCGCTCCTCCTGTCGGACGCTATTTAAATTGACGGACTGATGGCAATGCTTGACCAACAACCAAACCGCAAAACACAATCATCGGACCGAGAATATATATCGTTGGACCGAGAGTTGGAAGTGCCGGACCGAAAGCATCTAGTGCAGGACCGTGTTTCCCATTGTCGGATGAACCTTGGAGAGAGAGAGAGAGAGAGAGAGAGAGAGAGAGAGAGTACATACAACTCTACCTATACAAGAGAGAGAGAGAGAGAGAGTCATCAAATCTACCCTATCCAACCTTCCAATCTACTATGTCTTTATTTAGAAGGGAAAAGTTTATATAAGGTTGCAACCTTAAAATGTAGAATCACAGATGCACCTAAAAAATCTATTAGAAAAGTTGTTTTAATGTTGAAAAAACCCTCTAGTCAATCATCTCGACATCAGGATGCATGAATATGAAAAAAAACGCTTTTGAGTCCAGAAAATAGCGCATCTTGCAACACATTATCTAGACCGTCCATTTTTAAGATTTTCATACATTTATAGATCTACTTGATTTTAACCATTTTTGGAATTTAAAATTTTCTAATTAGTTATGAAAATAGATTTTAAGATAATAATAAGTATTTTTTACAACAAAATTACATGTTATAATAAAAGTTTAAGGTGCACCTTAATTGGATTGTTTAAGGTTGCAACCTTATAGAAACCGCACCCTATTTAGAACGCCTCGTCATATTGTCAGCATCCTAGAGAGACTTATGAGGAACGTTTTGTAGGGAGATCATGAAAAAAAGAAAAGGCTTCATTTGGTTAGTTAGGAAAAGGTGTACGCACCTATAAAAGAAAGTAGTTTGGGAATTCGTAGATTGAAAAACATGAACTCTGCGTTACTTTTAAAATGGTGGTGGAGAGTACATACCCACTAAGATTCTTTTTGGGTACAAATTTTAAGAGAAAAATATGAGATTGATCAAGTTTATGATATTATAAAAAGCCTAAGGAATAAGGCCACTCTTTCCCATATTTGGAGGGCGATTGACTTTGAGGACCTATCTATTTTTGTCATTTCTAAAAAGTTGTGGGTAATGGGGAATCTACACTTTTTTGGTATGATAAATAGTTTGTTGACTACCATCTTAGATATCTTTTTCTTGAGGTGTTCTCTAAAGTCTCAAACCCATTAGCTACAGTAAAGGAGCCTAGTGGGGATGCTCATACTAATATTATTTGGTTTATTCATTTCAGGTACAAGAGAATAACTGATACTTTTATCCATTAGTATCAAAACTTGTTGGACATATTAAACAATGCCCAACTTTTCCCTAATCTACAGGATGACATGATCTGGGACCTTACTACCTCGAGGGATTTTACGATTAAGTCAGCATATGCTCTTATCTCATGCGGTCGATATAGAAAACTGGACCCATGACTTTCTCAGATAAAGAAACTCCATGTTTTGCTTAAAGTTCAATTGTTTCTATACATACTTTGTCAAGACAAGCTAGCCACTGTGGATAACTTAAGGAAGCAAGGGTCCATTATACCTAATGTTTGCATTTTGCAAAGCTAGCGATGAGACGGCTCAACATTTATTCCTCTTCTACCCTTTCATTTTTGATCTTTGGAATTGGGTCCACTAATGTTTCAACTTATCCATTCCAATTCCAGAATTTTGCAAATTGCTCATCTCTCCACAATTATCCCTTGGTATCCCAAAGGTGGGTAATATTATTTTAGTGTTTTTCATGGGTAAGTGTCTTTTGGGGTGTGCGGAAGGAGAGAAACTGAAGAGGGTTAGAAAGAATCTCTACTGATTTTGCTATGCTAAAATGTAACATTTTAGCCTTAGCAGCAAATTAGTTTTCATCTCACAAAGATTGTGGCTCTATAACAAAGAGTCTTATCATTAACAACTCCTTAGCAGTTGCGACATTGGGCAACATGAGATCTACCTGAAGAGCGATTGTTTGGTCTCCTCTTCCTTTATACTCAATCAAATTGAACTTTGATGGCAGAAGCTTTGGCAATCCAAGCGCAACAGCCTACGATGGGTTGATTAAAAATCATTTGGTTCATATCTTGTGCTCATATTTAGGTCGTTGTGGTATTGCTACCGCTAATGAAGTGAAGGCTAAAGGTCTCCTGGAGGGTTTGAAACTTTGTTCACGGTGGAAAAGGCATAAGATTATTGAAGGAAATTCAGCAAATGTCATAGTTTGGAGCCGTGAAGAATTCAATGTTCCATGGAACCTTAGAGTATTGTTTAATGAGATTGGGAACATCCTTTCTTCTTTCACCGCTAACTTGCATCATTGTTATCCTAAGGTGAATGAGGAGACATATTCCTTAGCCAAAGGAGGAGCAAACTGTACCTCTCTGCTTGTCAATTTTTTCTAATGCCTCATCTTCTTTATTTCCTGTATATCTTGTGTCTTATATCTCTTTTTTGATTTAATAGAAAGATTGTGTTAATTTTCAAAAGAGAGAGAGAGAGATCAGTGCTTTAGAGAGAGAGAGAGAGAGCTCATAGCTTTGGAGAGAGGGAGAGAGCTGTGTTAAAAAAAAATAGGGCTTGGGTTTTAGATGGGGATAGAGAGAGTGGGGGTGAGTTTTTGAAAAAAAACTTTCATGGGTGCTACAAGAGAGAGGCATGGACAATATTAACGGAGGGCATTTTGGTATTTATTTGACATTTTTTTTATTTAGGAGCATATGCTATAAAAGTTAGTATTGGGGTAAAAGTTACCATAAAAAAAGTAATTAGGGGGGTGGGGGTTTGTCTAGAAAGTCTACTTTGGTTAGTATCAGTAATTTTTTCTATGTAATATATGAGATTGTATACAATGAGACTATTTATCTTTGTTATAAGAGGGTCACAAATACTTACAACCATCCGATGTGAAATCTGAATGCCTAGGTGTGTCACAAAGTCCGATAAAATTTCAATTGAACTTTAAGCTTGGTCAATGAAATATATGCAACCACCTAATTTCACATCCAATAGTTAAGAATAATTGTGACCACCTTGTACCAAAGGTAAATGATCTCATTATATACTTTCTCATAATATATTATATATAAGATAATATTACACAATATATAATATAGTATAATATAAACTAATATATTGTTTAATATGTAATATAATATAAAATAATATATTGTTTAATATAAAATTTGATTTATATATTATAGCTTAAATATTAGTTACATATTTATTTATTATATAATATATATTATTTATTTAATAAATAAAATAAAATAGATTATATAGTATATTATAAATAGTGGATCTTGAATAGTGATTAGTGGGTTTGCGTATGAAAATAAAACCCGGGAAATACTTCCTCATGGGTTGAGGTGGTTTTGTGTTCATGCAAAGTGGATCATCTTATTGTAAAATATTTTACCATGGGTTTTGTTTTCGTATGCTTTCTTTTCTTACCTAACATATGTAAGGCAATTTTACTGTAAAAATATTTTTCAGGAAATATTTTCACACCTACCAAACATGCCTGAAATCTCTCAATTTTTTATGTTGTAATATTCTTACCCAATTTTTCATAGTTTGTTTGAAACGACCAAATTGCCCATACTTCGGACCTTGAAGATCCAAAATACAACTCTTGTAATGTTTAATATTGATTTAGTCTTGAGAACATAAATACTTTATTAGAAATGCCCTATGACAAGTGTACATGGTTTAACATGAGCCGTGAAATTACAAATTCATCCCTTGATCATACTATCTATGCATGGGCCCAATACTTTTTTAATCGCACTAACAATTCGTTTACTTTTTGGTAACGAACCTCAAAAGAAGAACACAGGGCAGTTTAAGATGAAGTATTCTTGTAGTCAAGAGTGCCTCGTAGCCTCGTTTTTAATCAAAATATCTTTATAGGGCAAGGCCAGGGCTTAAGCCTAGGGGTGAAATGGGTCGGGTCAAGTCAGGGTTAACCCGGTTTGAATAAGTTTTAAGTTAGACCTGAATCCGACCCATACCCTATTCGGGTTCAAGTTAATTGGACCCAAACTTAACTCATTGGGTCGGGCCGGGTTAGGTTTGGGCCTACAAATAAAAAAATATGAAAAGCATTTAACATATTTCATACTACATAGTTAGTATTATTTATATGTAATTTATACTAATATATTTGGTTCGGGGTCGGTTTAGTCGGGTCGGCCTCCACCTAGACCCAACTTGAGCCAATAGAATCTAAGCTAGATCCGGACCTGGTCGGGTCATGGTCAAGTGGACCCATACCCAACTTGTCCAGTCCGTTTTCTATGTACAGACCCGTCCTTGGTTGGGTCAACTCGTTGGGTTCGTAGGTAGATCCAAACCCAATTCCCACCCCTAGCCAGTGTAGTCTGATACTTGGTGTGCTAGGCTGAATTTTGTTTTACATTAGAAGCCGGTTCGACTCATAGAGTACTTGACCGCCTGTTGGTTTGTTATTGAAGCCAGTTTGACACTACATGTACTAGATGAACTTCAATTTTACTTTAGAATCCGGTGTTTTCTTTTACAATTGAAGCGAATCACTTGGAGCGTTGGACCGGCTTTAGCTTTGCAATTGAGGCTGGTCCGGTCCGACACATGAAATGATAGACCGGTCTTGGCCTCTATACAAAAATTAGAATTGAAGGGATCTAGCATTTGAAGCGGTAGGCGCCTTGTCGTCTAAAAAACATTTGGATCAAGTCTAGACTGTTACTCCAAACGCCGGACCGGCCTCAAAAGAAGATGTAAATGACATTAGCTTTGATCGACTAAGTATTGGAGAGCCTAACCAAGAAAGTGTGGTCCAGGGCGTGTACATAATTTTACTCCGGATATCAAATAGTTTGAGTTAGATTTATAAACTATTCAAAAGAAAAAGAACCGAAAACAAGAAAAAAAGAAAAGAAAAAGGTTAAACGCAAGAATTTCCTCCATCCAATTTAGTTAGATGGAGATGAACATTTATGGAAAAAGTTTATAGAAGTGCGAGGCTCTAAACAATCAAATTAGAGTGCACCTCAAAAATTTCACTAGAAGAGGTTTTTTTTTATGCTCAAATATCTTCAAATTAATCATCTCGATGCATGGACGTGAGAAAAAAATGAACTTCAAGTTTTGGAAATAGTACATCTTGTAATGCATTTTTGGATCGTCAATTTTCATGAGTTTCAAGTTTTCGTAAATCTGCTCGATCTACACTATTATTGAAGCTTTAAATTTTTTAATTAAAGTTGAAAATATATTTTAAAGCTATCACAAAGATTTTCAATATTAAAATCATAATTCTCGATACTATTTGAAGGTACACTTTACTTTGATTGTTTAGAGCTTGGCTCTATACAAACCGCACCCAAAAGCTACTGACATGAAATTTTTCATTCGCCTTTTCTCTCTCTCTCTTTGTCCTGATACATAGATGCGTTAATTCATCGCATTACTTTTGATTTTTGAATAGAGGCGTCCATTCGTGGAGAGATGATATTGATGGAAATTAACACACCAAATAATATGTGCCTTATTTAGACTCATCCAATGGTTTAAAAAACGGATCGGTGACCCGGATCGGGCTTCTAAAAAACCGATCCGGATCGGTGAATCTGCGATTCGGATCGGGAATCGAGTGAATCGGTCAGAATAAAGCTTAAAAAAAATTCGAAAAAATTATTAAAATTCATTATAAATATTATTTTTTAGGAATTCAATAAAAAATGA